ACCTAGACCCCACAGACTCTGTACAAACTGTTTGAATAAGTCTCACATTCCGTACAAACTGTTTGACCTGAGGTGTAGTGAAGGGCGGCAGGGGGGACAGATGTCCCCGGGCGCAATCTAGTTAGGGGCGCCAAAATGTGCTTTGATATTATATTATTGGTAAAAATAATGGGTTTGAGAGTTGAAAAAAAGAAAAGGGGGCGCTTTAAAATGGATCTTCTCCCCTGGGCGTGAATCTTGTCCCCGGGCGCCAAACACCCTCGCTACGCCACTGTGTTTGACTAAGTATCGTTCTCTGTAAAAATTGTTTGACTAAGTCTCACACTCTGTACAAATTGTTTGACCACCCCTTTCTAATGTAAACATGCATTTTTAAATTGGAAAACAAATGGACTTTCGCTTTGTGTAATTTAATGATAAAAAATAATATAAAGTTGATTTCTTTACTTTAATGTTAAAAATAAGAAATATAGAACTTAGAAACACAAATAAAATATAGAAAACACAAAGAGATATAAAACTCTGAAACTCAGAGAAATATAGAACTTAGAACCAACAAAGAAACACAGAACTTAGAAAATAAACGTACGATTTATCTCATCAAAGTAACTTGATGTTTAAAAATTATTGTTTTTAAAATTTAATTACTTTAAAATGATCGTCTCTTCGACACAGCCCACTGACCAGTGGCGTAGTGAGGCAGGTGCGGGGGTGCGGACCGCACCGGGTGACACCAACCCTAGCTACGACACAGTAAATTGGTAAACCCTGCATTAGAGGTTTCATCATTTTTTAAATTTTTCTTTTTAAATTTTGACTTGTTCACCCAATCGCTTTACAGCCCTCAGTGGCGTCGCTGGCGCTAGTGCCACCAGGGGGGGGGGCAATATACTTCCATCACCACCCCTCAACGAAAAAAATTGAATTTGTCCGAAAATGCCACCCCTCAATATAAAGAGAGAAAAGCCACCCCCCCCCACCCAACCACCAAAACTTTTTTTTTCCCACTTCAAACATTAGTGCTTCCAGCAGATATTCGTTAGCCCCCCCCCCCCAACCTTTTTATTGTTCAACTCGAATAAAAGTCTTAAAACCGTATGTAGTAATTGTTTGATCATCACTATAATACAGCGGTTCTCAACCTGTAGGTCGCGATCCCTTTGTGGGTCGCATGACCCTTTCACAGGGGTCGCCTAAGACCATCTGGAAATACATAACTCTACAGTTATAACGTATCCACGAAAATAATTTTGTGGTTGGGGGTCGCCACAACATGAAGAACTGTATTAAAGGGTCGGGGCATTAGAATGGTTGAGAACCCATGATATAATATAATGTTTCAGAATTTGTTGGGTTTTTTTCCCCCACGCAAATTCAAAATGGCCAGATGCTAAGAGGCCTTGAATTTCTGAGCAGAAATGCAACAGTTGATACTTTGTCTGAATCATTTTCGTGGACAGAGAGTGCAGCACTTTAAAACACCACAGACTCCTGTACTTTCATGTGTCCCCTCTGCGACAACTCCTGAACTGACCATCACACGACCCACGTCAAAAATAGGACAACACGTGGCTCATCCGCACCCCACCCCCCTTTTTTCTTTTTTTTTTTTTGAAGCCGGAGACTGATTTTTGAGTTATTCACAGCTGTGGGCACAGCTACGGGTGAATCCATATGTTGCATTAGTTTAATAAATCCTCCAGGCGAAATGCTAATGAGTTTGTTTTTTTGTTTTTTTTTTGGTTTGTTTTTTTTAATGCCTCTGAACTGTCATCGACTCCTGGCGGCCAGGGGAATCTTTGACAATGTGTATGGGTGGTGTTCTGATGATGTAGGCGGGAAAAACGGGGGGAGGGGGGTATTTTTAATATGCTTACAGATGGGAGTGACTACATATTCTCAGACATATACAAAAGAATGTATTGTAGCAAGTGTGGGGGTGGGAGGGGTAGGGAGGGGATGGTATGAGTGGGTAAGATGGTAGGGAAGGGGTGGCATGGGTGGTGTTGGATGATAGAGGGGGGGTGGTATTTGGTGGTGAGATGGTATTAATGAGATAGATGATAGGGAGGTTATGGTAGAAGTAGGTGAGAAAGTAGATGGGGGATGGTATGAGTAGGTGAGAAAGTAGATAGGGGATGGTATGAGTAGTAGAGAAAGTAGATAGGGGATTGTATGAGTAGGTGAGAAAGCAGATAGGGGATGGTATAAGTAGGGGAGAGAGTATATAGGGGATGGTATGAGTAGGTGAGAAAGTAGATAGAGGATGGTATGAGTAGGTGAGAAAGTAGATAGAGGATGGTATGAGTAGGTGAGAAAGTAGATAGAGGATGGTATGAGTAGGTGAGAAAGTAGATAGAGGATGGTATGAGTAGGTGAGAAAGTAGATAGAGGATGGTATGAGTAGGTGAGAAAGTAGATAGAGGATGGTATGAGTAGGTGAGAAAGTAGATAGAGGATGGTATGAGTAGGTGAGAAAGTAGATAGAGGATGGTATGAGTAGGTGAGAAAGTAGATAGAGGATGGTATGAGTAGGTGAGAAAGTAGATAGAGGATGGTATGAGTAGGTGAGAAAGTAGATAGAGGATGGTATGAGTAGGTGAGAAAGTAGATAGAGGATGGTATGAGTAGGTGAGAAAGTAGATAGATGGTGAGAAGGTAGGAAGGGGATGATGCGGCAGGGTGAGAAGGTAGGGATGGGATGGTACGTATGGTGTAGATATAACAGAAAACAGGCATAGTGGGTAAAAAAAAATGACATGGATGAAATGGTATTGATGAGATGAGATGACATGCACGACATTAACTGGCATAGAGGTCAAAATGCCATGGGTGGCATACGATGCCACGATATAGGAGGAAATGAAATCTCTAATGGTTCAAGCCCTATGAAGGAAATAGTAGAAGACGATAGCTGACAAAGACCACAATCCCCCTAATTGCAGGTTCTCAACCCAGCGGCAGAGACGTTTTAACATTCATTTATTTAAACTGATTCCATGGAGGAAACAAGTAAAACTGCTCTTTAAATGGGATGATGAGTTATCCCCCCACCCGCGTACCCACCCCCCAAATCCCAAGTAGGGACCCTGGAGACAATCAAATTATTGAGACTCATTGGGCTAATGTAAGCTATCTCATTAACATTCACAATCCTATCACGAAATGGTACCTTCATCAGCTTATTTCTTATGGACAAGGGTTTATAAGCTCTGTTATTGTTGCCCATATAAAAAAAAAACAACAACATTCTTCTCACCTGCCTCAATAAATCTATTTATGCATATAAACACAAGGGCTTTTTTAATTATAAAATTTGTTTATGCCCCCCCCCCCCCCCCCCACCCCCAAAAAAAAAAAAATTCTTGTCAAACTGTTAAACTTTCAATGACCCCCCCCC